AAAATTGAAGTTGATGGAAATCAGGAGAAATATCCCTAGTGGTTGGAGTAATACTTGGCGCATGTGAAGATAGTTTTGGTTGCTAGAGGTAATCATCTCAGTACCAGGGCATTGTTGCAGGATATTCTGTTGCTAATGTCCCTCAGTCCTACCATCTTGCACTCCTTCCTCAATGACCTTACTTCTGTCATAAGATCAGAACTGGGATGTTTGCTGATGATTGCATGATATTGAGTACCATTTGCAAATGAAGCAGCCTGTACGAAAATGTAACAAGTCCTGGATAACATTCAACTTGGGATTGATAAGTGACAAGTAACATTCAAATCACAAGTACAAAACAATGGTCACCTCCAACCGGAGAGATTTTAGCCATCTTTTCACGACATTCACTGACATCACCATCTCTGGACTCCACTCTCAATGTCCTGGGGTTTACTATTGACCATCAACCAATCTGAACCAGCTTTACAAATAATTTGGTTAAAACAGCAGACCAGAGATGAAGAATTTTAAGGCAGGTAACATGTTTTCTGTTTTCCCAGTGCCTGTCCTCCATGTACAGAGGGGTGGATCAGGGTGGGATGCTCTTCAAAGGGTCACTGAACTTGATGGGCCAAATGGCCTGCTTCCACACTGTAGGGATTCTATGATCCTATAAGGTAGGATGAACTGCCGGAGGTAATGATTCATGATAGTACCAATGACTTGGGTTGCAAAGTCAGAAGTCTCACGACACCAGGTTATAGTCCAACAGGTTTATTTGAAATCACAAGCTTTCGGAGCGCTGCTAATTTGCCAGCACTTTGCCTGACAAGGTTTGGGATTTAACTGACACCTCTTGGACTATAACCTGGTGTTATGTGACTTCTGACTTTGTCCACCCTGGTCCAACACTAGCACCTCCACATCTTGGGTGGCAAAGAGGATGAAGTGCTGAAAGCAGATGCTAGGGAGCTGGGAAGGAAATGAAAAGCAGGTCTTCTAAAGCAGCAATCTAAGGATTGCTCCCAATCCCATGTGCCAGTAAGCAAAGAAATAAAGATCGAGCAATAGAACATGTGGTTGCAAAGCTGGTGTAGGAGGGAGGGCTTTATATTTCTGTGACGTTAGGTTTGGTTATTGGGAAGTGGGGTTCTCATCAAGAGAACTTTTTAGCTGACACACAAGCCCAAAGAGATGGAGTGCAATCCTAGATTTAGTCTTAGGAAATGTAGCTAGGCAAATGCATGAAGTCACAGTGTGTGACCATTCTGGAGATACTGTCCATAATAAAGTTAGACTTATCTTTTCAGAAAAAGACATAGAGTAAGAATAAA